AAATATCTTAAATATTTCAGAATATTTACAGTAATATTAGTGAAAATATACAAGCCAAATCCTTCCAGAGGATGTGATATTAGGAAGCAGTTTGAAATAACAATACAAATGACAACCCACTGAGAGCTTACAATGTCCCTGACACTAAGTGCTTTACATATAATATTTATCCTTACAAAAGCTTATGGCATAAAAATTATTGCCATTTTACAGATGATGAAACTGAGATTTAGAGATAAAGTATCTTGTTCAGGGTCTTATAGCTATGGAATGGTAGAACCAGGAATTGGACTGGGGCCAGTTTGACTCCACAAGTGTGTGCTTCTAACCACTATATTATGCTGTCACCTTGATGCATAATCTGAATGTGTTTCTTTTTTTAAAAAATTGTTTAGTGTTTATTTATTTTTGAGAGAGAGACAGACAGAGGTGAGCCAGGGAGGGGCAGAGAGACAGGGAGACACAGAATCCAAAGCAGGCTCCAGGCTGTCAGCACAGAGCACGACATGGGGATCAAACTCACCAACCAGAAGATCATAACCTGAACCAAAGTTCAGGATACTTAACCAACTGAGCCACCGAGGTGTCCCTGAATGTGTTTCTAATTAAGTCAAGTCCATATCTCACCTGAAAGGATCTGAGGGACTCTTCCAGCAGAGTATTGTTTTCATCTCCCAGTACTGTCACCTTCACCTCATCATCTGCCAGATTCAAGACTTGCAGGAAAATCTCTTGAGGACCGGGCTGCGGTGGGGTCATTCTCTTAGGGCATAGAATGCATGTCAGAATTACCAACAAATAACCCTTCAAATACAATGAGAACACATAGCTCTGTCCTATCTCTGACAGCCTAGTCCATCTAGTCAAGAGGACAGTTTTCTCCCTCTGAAGAGTATTTGGCTTAGAAAACTTTGAAGGCAGTTTGGAGGGGGAAGCACCAGCTCAGTGTAGCAAGCACTGATGCTACGTAACAAACTCCATGCTTTTTGACTCAGTTGTGGCCTCATACATCATTCCCCAATAATGGCTATTCCATCTGCCAAATATTCAAAAGCCTGTGTTCCCAAAGGGATGACTAGATACCTTGGATATTAGTGTTTGGGAATTCCTTGACAATATACTCTGAATCACTCAGGTGGGAGGTGGGCCTCATTTTACATTGCTGTTCTACCCTTGTATCTACTCGTTTACCACGGATAGTTATGATGCACCCTCTTTAGATCAGGTACTGTCTAGATCAGGTACTGACTGTGCTAGGTCCCAGGCAACCAGGATTGAACAAATCAGAAGAGTGAATACCACAGATATGGTCTTGCCCTCATGGAGCTTTAGATTTATTGAACTCACATTAATTTTTAACTCTACAGCTGCTGCAACTGCAAACGCCAGGCTTGCTAGGATCATACCAACAGCCATTTTCCTAAGTGATCTGCAGAGGAAAGAGAGAGGCAATATATCTAAACTTTAAATCTAAACCCTCTAAGCCTACCATTAAAGACCTTTCCTGATTTGGTCCCAGCTACTCCTCACACTGAAGAGTTCTCTGTTAATGCACCACATTTTCCCACATCAACTTTTGTTTATGATGGTCTTTCTATACATTATGTCATCATAACCAAAAATAATAGTAGTGCAGCCAGATATATTGAACATTTGCTATATGCCAGGCACTATACATTTTTACCTCATTTTCTTCTTCTTTATAAGTCTTTCTTGACTGTCAGCAGGAAGGACTCTCCTTGCTCTATATTTCCTTGGCACTTTGTTTCCCTTCTTACTGCACTTAATATATATCACATTGTGTAATAATTATCCTTGCATGTGTTCTACCTCCCTTATTAAACAGTGAACTCCTTCAGGGCTGGATCTGTGCTGTTATATTTGCATGGCATTGGTGCTGAACTCAATAATATCTGCTCAATCAATGAGTAAATGAAAAAAGACCATTTGAATACATTTGAATATGATAATGTGGTCATCAAAAAGAAATTGCTATTAAATCAGGAATTAGAGGAGGCTTGAAAACCCTCTGGTCAAATTTACAAAGAATAACACTTCTTTTCTTTTTAAGTTTTTATTTATATTCCAGTTAGTTAACACACAGTGTAATATTAGTTTCATGTCTACAATATTCAACATTTCCATACAACACCTGGTGCTCCTATTTAGAATGGGGGGAAAGCAGTAATTAGGGACAACTCTATTCCCACTCTTACTAGGTACCCACTTTGTTTCATATAGACAATAGAAGATTTAAAGGGATTAGTTGTCATGATAGGCTTTAGACTTTGAAGAGGCAACATTCAAGAATAAAGCAACAAGTTGATTTAGGATTCTATTCTCACATACTTTTGACTTTCCATGAAGGTTAGATCTACCTCTTCAACATCACACAGTTCAGTCGGCAATAATGGCTTGGACTGTCTATAATAAGAATTAATTAGCTCTAATTCCCATCCTCCAGTATCAATAGGCATTTAGTTTAACTTAGATACATAGAAGCAGAAAAATTATAAACCAAAACAAATCGTGACTAAGTAGAAAAGTACTGACATTGAACTTTTATCAAGCTGAGCAAATATTAAGTCAGTTTAAATAACAAAGGCATAGTGAGCACTTACGAGAAGTTAATTCCACATTTGGAAACCAGCTGATAAATGACAAGGTCAAACAATGGAATGAAGATAAGAACCAGAAGGGGATTTAGTACCTGTAACATCATGGTAAAAAGGATTAATTACACATATTCTTCTACCTCAAGTGTAAGTACGTACTCTCATTTGCTTGTGTGTACTCTAACGTTCAAACATACTTTCATTGTACTAAGTATGGAATGATTCCACCTCTTTCAGTCCTTTATACCCAGGACTGTATTTGCCCTGCATAGCACCTCAGCTTCTCAATATCCCACAGAACAAATTTCACTCTGAACCTGTTTTTCTGTCCAACCAGTTGGGAATTTTTCCCTCCCAATTTCACTTATCTTTTCCTGTTCCACAGCCCAAGGGAAAATGTGAAGGAGAGAAGGAGAGAAGGAAGAATTGGGGATTATTAAACAAGGGCTTAAAAAAGAACTGGGAGTCACCCAATTGTGTTTTACTCACACAACAAAGCCTTACACTTTCTTTTTTTTTT